AGAATTGCTCTGAGGAGCAAGGGAGGATGGGAGTGGTTAGACGGGGGACTCATCAGTCCCAAAACAGGCCCTTAAAACATCTCACGTGTCATTTCTGCCTTTCTCTGTGGTCTTATGCCTCCTCCTGCCTTCCAGATAATATGTATGAAGTTTTCATCTCTGAGCCACACCTCCTCAGGTGGCCCTGGATCACTCCTAAGCTGTGTCATATCCTATGGCAGCTAAAGCAGGGTTAGGAGGTTTTTGTTTTTGTTTTTGGTTTTTCGAGACAAGGTTTCTCTGTGTAGTCCTGGCTGTCCTGGAACTCACTCTGTAGACCAGGCTGGCCTTGAACTCAGAAATCTGCCTGCCTCTGCCTCCCAAGTGCTGAGATTAAAGGCGTGCGCCACCCCCACCCATCTAGGAGTTTTATTTTTAATTGGTCATTTTATGTATTTACATTTTGAATGTTATCTCCCTTCTCCCAAGCATGTGGTTACAGGCAGGAGCGAGCACACCTGGTTTCTACATGGTTCCTGACAACCCCAACCTGAAAACCTATGTTGTTAACTGTGTAGGTAACCCAGCCCATCCACCTTCTCTGGACATTATGACCCTTCAAACCAGTGACTCACGTGACCAGAGCAGAGGGCACCAGTAGCCCATCGACGAGTTCCCCAAGTTTTCCCCAAACTGCCTGTCGGTTACGAAGTCGGATGTTCATGGCCCCTGACTGTTCCTGAAGGGTCCGGATCTCAGAGCTGATGGAGCTGAGGTCGCTCTGAAAAGCTCCCAGCATCTGCTCCATGAGCTGTATGGAGGGCAGAAAGGATTGTGGGAACGACTCCCGGTGGATGGGGGTCGGGGACAAGTCTGTCACCCAAGTCTCTGAGCGAATACTCCAGTATCCAGCAACCAAGGAGAATGGGAGATCTTCATTTGTCCAAGGGGGACAAAAAAATACTAGGGAAAAAAAAAAAAAAAGGAAGAGCCGAAGGCAACAGGTGAGGGCCACCCACCTCCAGGACGGCATCACAGGCTGTGATCTGATTGTGCAGAGATGCTATGTTTTCACTCTCTTGGATATCTGACCCACAAAAGTCAAGGGCTTCACACTGAACACAGAGCTCTGCAGATTTGCAGTACCTGACCCCAAGTTCTCCCCAAAGTGACCTGAGAGAGACAACATCCCTGTGGGGCCTACCTGCATCACACACCCCCAAAATCCCATGTCAGTAGCACCCATCTGTTCCCTCTGCTGGAGGATACAGTCCCGGATTGATTTCTGCTCAATCTGCTGCAGCTCCAGCTCCACCTGCTTTGAATAGTGTCAGAGATCCACACCCTGGGGGGAATGACAAAGTCAGGAAGAAGCCATAGTGAATGGACACCAGAACAGACTGGGTGACTGGCTAGAGGGAAGCCACCAAGGTGAGGTGACACTGAGTAAGGGAAGGTGGGGGAGATCAGTGCAGTGGAGAACCTCACCATTCTGAGAACTTCCTTCACTAACTCATCCTCCAATTTTGCCTGGATGTGAACTGGAAACAAATTTACATTTAGGGTCCCCTGCCACACCTCCCTCTGCCCACACTGGGCACATACAAGCCACACCATCTCCCCTTCCCTTCCAGACCCCATCCTCTCCAGTTATAGGCACAGTGCTTTGCCTGGTGGGACTTTCTGCTGTTTCGGCTCCTCATGGTCTTCTCAACCACAGATCAAAAATACTAAAGTGTGACCTGTAAGATCTAAAATGTGTGGCATTCTGAGAAGCTGAAGAACCTCTCACTCCGCCTTGGATATGAAACATCTTTGCTCCGTCATTTCTGCAACTGGTCACATGGCTTATCGGGTATTCATCACTATAACCATGTTTTTCAACAGGCTTCTTTTATTTAGAGAAATAAGAATTCTGAATAAATGGTATTATAAATGCTAATACCTTGGTCAAATACCTCGGGCTGGCTCCCTGGCTAGCTCATGATACATAATCCCATTTATTTGACACTATTTCCTGCCATGTGGTTAGTTACTGCTCCTCTGCTTCATGTGTCTGTCTTCTTCAGTGTCCTGGGACAGATCGCCTGCTTTCCTGACTGATATTTATAACTACTTTCCTCTACTACCCATTCTGAATTTCCTCTCTTTCAGAAAGCACCTCAGCAGGTCTTGTCTCTTTTCTTGGAGGACTGACCATACCACCATTCCTGAAGGGTCTGTGCCCTTTGTCATCCTGCCTGGATTAGGCTGTCATAGTTTCCCATTGACTTTAATCACAGGACACGGTAGTAATAAGAGAAGCCCTAAAGGATCTCCTGCACTCCAGACATGATCCTTCTTACCCCCATTGTGGAGAGACAATCTAATTTCCCCTTGGTGATCTACATCACTCACACCTCCTAACACTCCATCCCTTGCATAGCCTGATGGCAATGTCTAGACAAGAGAGTAAAGGTGGGGCTCCAGGCTAAGAGACGGTCTCTGGGAAAAGAATCAGGGGCAGGAGGGTTCACCAGCATCACATCGGGGAGGACAGATATACCTGGGCTGTGGGAGAGAGGTAAAGAACAGGCCATGAAGAGAGACATAGGCCAGTATTTGTCACGTTAGAATAACAAAAAGTCTGCCAAGCTAAGCATCTAAGCTTTTATAAATAATAATAATAATAATAATAATAATAATAATAATAATAAATCTCTGTGTCTTTATTCATCCACTGGCAGGACCAAGAAAGTCCCACTATTCATGACTCAGCCCTGCAGGCTGCTGTCACCTAGTGAGCACTGTAACTGTGTCTTCAGACAGCCACCCCATCTTTCTGTCAAGCCAGGTGCCTGAGGTTGGTGGGAACCATGGTAAGACTAGAGGACTCCATGACCGAGGGCCCACTGTCACACTTCTGCTGTGAAGTGAGTTCCTTGGTCAGAATACCACATGGAACTCTGTGTGGAATAGCATGATGGTGGATAAGGCATTCTGTAAGTTCACTGATGGTGGTTTCAGCAGAAGCATCACATGTGAGAAAGGCAAATCCATAGTCAGAATGAGAATCTACTCCAGTGAGTACCAAGTGTTGTCCTTTCCATAAGGATTTGGTCCAATATAGTCAACCTGCCATCAGGTTGCTGGCTGGTCACCTCGAGGAATGGTGGCACATCTGGGGCTCAGTGTTGGTCTCTGCTGTTGGCAGATCTGTCATTCAACACACACTGTAGCCAGGTCAGCTTTGGAGAGTAAAAGTCCATATGGTTGAGCCCATCCATAACCCCCATTTCTGGCACCGTGGCTGCTTTGTTTATGTGCCCACTGGATAATGACAGAGATGGCTGCTAAACAAACTGACTGTCCCCAGAACGGGTTACCTACCTACTTGATTATTGACTGTCTCCTGAGCTAACACCTTTTGATGACATGTACACAGGACATAAGTGTCTTCACACCCTTTCCCCCATTTGGAGAGATCAATGCACATGCTTTATCCCCAGATGATTCCAATCATGCTCTTTCCAAGTTTCTCTGTCCATCCAGCCGATCCATTAGCTACAGCCCATGAATTAGAGAACAACCACACACCTGGACATTTCACCTTCCAAATAAAATGTGTATGGCCTGTAATTCCACCCACTATCAAGATTTTCCTTGACAAAATTCTTTCAGGGTTGTCCAAGAAATGGATTGTAATGCTGCAGCTGTCCACTTCTGGTGACTGCAAGACATGCAGAACCATCTGCAAGGCAGGCCCTAGTCTCTTCTTCTTGAGTCTTCCAATAATAAGGTTCCCCATGAGGCTGTAGGTGCATGCTTGGTAGCAGATGACATTGTAACACTGTAACGTTGTAACAGGAGTAGACACTGCAGGCATTTGGGTAAAGTCTTCATGTAACTTCCTTTTTCCTATAGGACCTGTCCAGGCCCAATTCCTATATATCTCTAACATTTGATAATAGGTTACTACTGTGTGTCCTAGTTTAATATTTGGCTGGTCAGATGACATTCAACTCATTATGGGCAGCACCGGCCACAAAGTAACTTGGTGGCCCATTGTCAAATGTTCAGTTTCTGAACAGGAAGCTTAAGGATTCTTTGGAAAATCAGTTCTGTTCTGTTAAGTATCCCTGATGACCAACAGAAAGGGACTGCATACTCCTGAAGAAGACCACAACCAGCTCAGCTTCCAACTTCTGAAATAGAATTAAAGTTTAAGCAGTGAAGGAAACTATCAAAGCAGCATGCTGTTGAAAAATATTTTAATAAGGGTCAAAGCTACAGATCCAGCAAGCAGCAGAACTCGGCAGCTTCAGCCACATGGTTCTGGTGTCTTCAGAGTTAAAAATACAAGAAAGAGATTATGGAATCTCTTCTGCAGCTAAGAATTACCACTGAGGTCAGAGGCAAGGCAGGAGTGTCCCTGCATGGAGGCCCAGAGAGACCTCTGTATGAAGCTATGAAAGTGAAACCTGGATTCCACTGGAGACCTCAAATGTTGGGCATGCCACAGTCACAGGACACCTCAGAAAGATAGGTGCTAAGAGGGAGCAGAACCAGCCCAAGAGAGAGAAAAGTGTTGCAGTCAACAAGCTGACAGGAGTTGGAGATCTGAAGAGTGCTTTGACATCAGACATGGAGATGCAGAGTTTGCCCAGCTGGTCTTGCTATGGTTCAGTATTTTCCCCACTATGCTTCCTTTCCTTCATTTTGGAATGGTGATATGCATCCTGTGCCAGGGTGTGGGGAAGAATATGACCTATCTGCTTTTTTATTTTGATTTTACAAGTGGTTTACAGCTTAGAAATTACATGTGTCTCTGAAGAGACTTAGAACTTTGAAGTTTATAATGTGCTCAGATTGTGATAGACTATTACACTATGGGGACTTTTAAGGTTGGGCTGGATGCATTTTTGCCTTATGATATTTCTACAAGACTAAGGGGACCTGGAAGTGGAATGTTGTGGTTTGAATGTGATGCTGCCATAGGCTCATATATTGAAATCTTGATCATCAAGGACTAGCGCTGCTGGACAAGGGTGTGGGAGGTGTGGCCTTATTTGAGTAATGTTGCCTTGTCTGACTACCTGAGTCAGAGGGACGACTTTGGTTTTCAAAATGCCAAGCTAGGCCTAGTAGCCCTTGCCTCTCTCTCTCTCTCTCTCTCTCTCTCTCTCTCTCTCTCTCTCTCTC